TGGTCACACCCGTGCGGGAGGTCCGCGTGGTCCGACGGGCTGCCTCTCACCAGGGTTTGCGAACTGGAGCTGGCTGTTCGCATGGGATGCCTGGAGGTCGCACCGCCTGCGCTGCCGAGGCGCCTCAGAACGTGCCCGTCGCGCAGCCCCCCGGGCTCCTGAGGTAGCCTGTGAACAGGGCTTGCCTGGCCTTCCTGATCGGGAAAGCCCAGTATCTCAGCAAATCTCCCTTGCTGAAACTCAGACCAACAAATAAGAACAGTTTTACAGTGTATGCTCATATTTAATGTACAGTTTGCTCAGGGATACGTTACAGGTACCCAGGGACATTACTGTACATAACTTTGTACCACATTAGTATAAGCTAAATCAACACGAAATACGTTATCATTTTGTTTTTCATTAAAAGGACAAGTCTGTGGTATTCTTAACTTCAAGAAATAACGAGTCAGACTTTGCAAAATCACATCGTAATCTTACAGAGTACTTTCTACCGCCTTCTCATGTTTTAACTTTTGGGTGTACTAGGACTAAGCATCAAGCTTGTCTTTATGAGACACTCATAAACTTGCTGCTTATTGAAAGTTCAGATCTGCAATAATTTGCAGACTTCCAGGAGATTACATTTGGGGAAAGAATCATCAGCAGTAATAAAAATGTGATGTGATAAAAACGGCAGTCTTAAAAGGTAGTGTCTATTTCAGTAGTACCAACTCAGATGTTACAGCTCTGACTACATGCTGTACTAATTTGGGGACTTTTTTATTTTAGACACTTCTTCAAGACACAGACGTCATGGATAAATATGAAATAATAAAAAAAATTGGAGAAGGATCTTTTGGCAAAATATTCTTGGCAAAAGGAAAAGTGGATAATGAGCAGTGTGTTATCAAAGAGATCAATTTAACTAAGGTAAAACAACAAAACCTGGATGATGGTGGTAGTTATTTACATGATTGTGCTAATTGCATTTAGCTAGGGTATGAACTTGGGTTATGTTTTATCTCATTTGCAGTCCTATCTCGATGATATAAACTTTCCAAAGACTGTACTCTTTGCTAATTTAGTGATTTTACAAACATAGATGAAATACATATTTTGATATTGTTTACTTTTTACTGCATTTTTGTTCTTTTCGAAAGTTCTCTCTACCTGCAATGCGTGACACTATAATAGATGATTCAACTACAATGAAACTATTGACACTGGTGTAACAAATTACAATTTTGTGATACGTTCCTCTAAAGTTTTTAATTTCCTTTGGTTTTGTTTTTGTTTTGGTTTTTTTCACATCCATATTTTCAGATGTGAATAATTCATAATGGAGTCTTTCCACTTCTCATTTATGTTTATGTCAGTTTGATTAATCTCATCTAAATTCAAATGTCCATTCTGTAGCTGTTGGCATCTCAGCTGATTGGCCAGACTCCCTTTCTAGGAGAACCAGAAAAATCAGTATTTTTACGATGCTGTTGATTGTGTGTGGTTTAGAATTCTGTTTTAGAATGAGTTGAATCAGGCCATAAAGCGCTCTCTTTCTTTCTGTTGCCTGCAGAGGCAGGGAAGAGTGACTAGCTCAGGTATCAGAGCACTCCTACATGTAGTTGTGGAAAGACAGGCAATTAAACCCCCTATGATTTCAATACAGGGTTTTCAACAGTCAATTCCAAGGAGTGCCTACATCCTTTTGACAGGTCTTTTGCTATTCTGGGCCACACTAGTGAATGTCTAATATATTAGAGAATTATAATAGAAGAATGAATTTTTATACATCAGTTCTAGAAGGAGCTGTATAACTTCCAAATTCAAACACAGAAAAATTTATATGCTAGTAATGACAGCTAAATAAAAAATAGTTTCTCTCTATGCTCATGACTAATAAAACGCATGCACTTCTGATCTTAGATGTTGATTTATGCAAAACAGAAAAATGTAAGTTAATAAAATATTATTGTGGATACCAGTCATTCAAAATTTGGGAGCTGGGTACAGAAAATGACTACTTTGAAGTAATAAGATTTTCGGTTTTTATATGGTAGAGTGTGTTTCATGCACTTCCTGATTTTTGAATCTTTGAGGGTTACATTTCAAAATTATTTCTTAAGAATGAGGGTACAAAACTTTTTATAAATACAAGAAGGCATTTTGATGCATGGAAATTCAGAGACATGAATTTTTAAGAAGTAATATTGATGAAAGTTTGATCACAGTGCTAACCAAATAGAAGTTTTCCATTTAGTGTAACAGGGCAAAGAGTTTGCTTGAAATGTTGAAAGAACTCATAACACCAGTAGAACAGAAGGCCTTTTTTTGTTTTTACTTTATTCTTTCAAGATCACCCATATTAAGAATACAGAATCGTCTAGACCCTTATTCTTCAACTACTTAAGGGATGTTTAGAGTTTAACTCTATTCAGCAGCTAGCTTAGCATTTGTGTAAAAAGATTAAAGGTACACATTTGTCTGTTTGTAAAATGTCATAATTTGGTTTGACTTTGGTAATGTTCCAATATATTTCCAAGCCTACACTGCAAATTGATATTTTGCATATATATACATTGTATTTTTTTGATATTTCTGAATCACCTCAGTACACAGTCGTTTTGTATTTGTGGGAATGGTTTGACGATAATGTAACTATTTTTGAAGAGAGTTAAATATATCAGTGCTGGCATATAGTTTCTTAATTCTTCGTAGATGCCTGTGAAAGAAAAAGAAGCCTGTCAGAAAGAAGTGATTCTTCTGGCCAAGATGAAGCATGCAAATATCGTAACCTTCTATGCTTCTTTGCAAGGTTTACTTTTAACGTTTTTGTTTCATTTGTGGTTATGGGAGTGGAAGGCAGCAAAACCTACCCTGTTAATATTGCCCAACCTTAAGCCTGTCCCCAGCCCCTTACTGAAAAATGAACATGAGGTATCAAATTCGGGCATCATTTGCCCTCTTCATATGTGTGTGTGGGACCTAAGGTACTGTGGCATGCATGAATGCTAGATCCTGGGGTGTCTGCATTGCTTAAGTTGAACTTTAGTCTTGACCTTCAATAGGAGTCCAGAGTTTAGTGAGACTTCAAGGAGTTTCAATAGAAGAGAGCTTTTGAGTGTAGCAAGAAATAGGTCCTGTTGGCCTTTTGTCTTGAACCATATTTTGAGGTGTCACTCAAGGATACAGAATTCTTCAGGACCAAAAGAGACAGAAGGTAGTCTGTTCTCCATAAAAGCTAATTCCCTATATTTATTTTTCCTGATGACATCTGTAATAAGTAATGCCTTATGTAGTGAATGCTATAGTTACAGCTTGTGTTCAAATTGTTTTCTGTGATCAGGGCCATAAATGTTTTAAGGGACATGTAAATCTGGTAGTCTTGTGGACCCCAGAGAGGTAGGAATAGGGTGAGTTTCCATATAAAGTAGCGTATGCTTATTTCTACTGTTGGGACACTGTCTACTTTTAACCTTTTCCCTAAGCCTAACGGTATACTTTGTTATTATTGGGGAACAATCCCAACTATGAAGCATTCTGCTAAAGGTTGCCTATGAGAACATCTATCTTTCTATCAGTCTGGTCTCTTGAGTTTTCTCTTGTATTTAATATTTTGGTGAATCTCCATTTAAATATATTTTCACATCTTAGTTTTGCATCAAGTTTCACCAGAAGTATCAATTTTTTCTCAGTTACTCTTTGAAATGGAAGAGTAGGTGGAGGATTAACTACTCCCTTTTGAAAGAAGGACCATATAAAATAAAAATAATTATGTATTAATGATTAATAAAGGAATAAAGGAAAAATTATACTTCTCCTTTCAGAAAAGAACAAGCTATATATTGTGATGGAATACTGTGATGGTGGAGATTTAATGAAGCGGATACATATGCAGCATGGAGTGCTGTTTGACGAAGACCAGGTGAAAGGAGAGGAAATGACATATGTTAAAAACACATGGTTTGAATTATCCAGTACTAGCTACGGTTTCTTTTCTGACATGTTAAAATAATTGAACATTTTAAAGAAGCTTTTGTAATTTTAGTGGAAGTTTAGGATTTGCTTTTTACTCTGCTTTAAGATCTTAAATTAATTAATTGGCAGTATTTTGATCCCTTCCATTGTGGATGCACTTAAGCCATAAAGACTTTATTTTAAATGGTGTTTTAAAATTATGAGGGGTTGTATTATAGATGAGTTCTTCATTCTTTTGTTCAGTTTGCATAATGGCATATCCTCCTTTTATAGAAGTCAGTGGTAAATCTTCAATTTGTTTCATTTGGGTCAAGACTTCTCTGATGGCATTTAAATTGTTAAACCAGCACAGAGAAACAAGTCCAGAATTCTGGCTGGTTTTGGAACATGCTCAAATATATTTTATTTTGTAAATAGGTGAGTATGATAGGTATTGCAATTCACAGAAACAGAATTTCACACTATTCCTTACTGTTTTATTTTTTTACTAACTCTTAGCTTTCTGAAGGAAATTTTCTCATATATGTTAGACTTACTGTACTGAACTCTGAGGTTATTTAGTTATGCATAGTCTTCTACTTTTGCAGGCACAATGAAAATTTCCCTAGAAACTAGATAGATAGTATCAAAGCTGTTAGTGGAAATATACTATAAAGCATAAAAGTGGGGGGAAAAAAAAGAAGTTTTGTGATTTTTCTTTTTCTTTAGTAGTAAAAGAGGAACTCAGTGTAGAAGTCAGTTGGAAGTGAATTACTGGTTCAGTAATAGTGATTTTTAAGATCCTATTGGGAGTCATACTAGCAGCAGAGAGAACATGAGAGAAAATAAAGAGAGGACAAAACCACAGATCATGAAAACATGAGAGAACCAACACACACAAACCACTTGATGATGAGACAGAATTATACAAATCCAAAGAAAGGCAAAGGAAGTAGAGATAGAAGAATGGTTTATAGAAGCTAAAGATATATCTGACAATCAAGAAAGGAAAGCAAATTGCCCTATTTAAAATAACATTAAAATATCTTTATATTTTCACATGTATGCCTCAGAAAGTCTCAGTTGTGGCATCAGCCCTATTCAGGAAATCATCTGGTTAATGTGAAGCATTTCTAAATAGAAGATTATTACTTGAATCAAAGTCTTTCATGACCATCAATTTTCCTAAATAGAGAAGCATTTAAGCACATTGTACTTGTGTTTCTGAATTAAGTCCAAAGGCCTTTATACAATAAAACACATGTATATTTGAAGTTAAATGTATCTTCAAGTGCTGTACTGAGTCAAGGATAAAGGATAAACCTGTGTGCTTCCTTATTATGCAGGTTTCTCCATAGTTCCCTTCTTTCACCACATTTCAGTACTTCATCCTTTTATTCTGTTCTGGTTGGCAGGGTTTTTTTGTTTGGTTTGTTGGGGTTTTTTTGTTTTTTCCGGACCACATTCAGTAAGACTACCAATATTAAAACTGGATGGTATGACTTCCACCACTGAGGATTAAGAGGACACTTCTAAATTCTGCCTTAGTTGTTATTTGAACTCACTCATTTCTAAATAATGGTCTGATAATCTTAGTGTCCTTTGACAGGATTCTTCAGTCCTTGTTCAAGTACTCATTTTGTCACAGTCAGTGAAAACTTGATGGGGATAAGGAAAGTGGAGCAGGTATCTATTTCAATTTACTGTTGTGATAGCTCTAAAAAAGGAAAGCAAAGGTCTATGGCATTTATTTAAAAAAAATATTTTTTACTATTTTGCATTGTATATGCTCTACATACTTTAGATTTTGTTGTTGTCTTTATTTTCTATATTTCAGAAAGATGTTCCATTGGATGGAAGAATCACACAAAATTATAGATATCTGTTCCCTTTGACTTTCACTGCAGATTCTGAGTTGGTTTGTGCAGATCTCCTTGGGCTTGAAGCATATTCATGACAAGAAGATATTACACAGAGATGTGAAAACACAGGTAGTGAAACTGGCATTGGAGAGGGTGTGATTTTGTCCTGTAAAAAATATGCTTAAGAAGCTCTGCCATGTTTCATTTTCACATACCAGTTTTGGTTTTATTTGCAGAACATTTTTCTTAGCAATAATGGAAAGGTAGCAAAGCTTGGGGACTTTGGCATAGCAAGACAGTTGAACAGGTAAGCAACTTTTTAAATTAGGCTGTGAGCTACACCAAATACCACTGTTTATGAATGTTCAGAATGTAACCTGAATGTGCAAATTGTTTGTGGATTGTTCTTTGGTCTGGGATGCAAAGGGTCTGACACTACATATCTTTCTGTTATCCTAAAACATGCCATCCTGCATGAAACCACAGATATATCTAGCCTAGGAGCTGGACTTCTGTCTAGGACATCGGGTGGGGAAGCCCCGGTCTCTCCCTGTTCTCTGTGGAACTGACAAAGAGATTCTGGAGGCACAGCTCCTGTTCTTGCAGCAGTTGATAATCACTTCTGGTACCTCATAAAAAGGAAAGTGAAGAGCATTAAAAACTTAGGGAAGAGTATAAGAAAAGAGTTTGTACAGATTTTCTTTGTAAGTCCTTCAAGACTGTGCTTATATTAATTTTTTAAAAAGGGCCAGAACCCACTCTGTGGGCCTGAGAGCAAATGGCATGGCATGGCTTGCATCCCTATGGCTAAGCTCTGTTCTCCCAAAGAGGATGGCCTTATTTTTACTGACTTTGGGGCCAAGGTTGGCCTATCCTGCATAGTGGCCAGGTGTTTTCTAGGAGAGGGCTTTTTGGTGTAGCTAAAACATGCTGAAGGCATGCTAACAACATGACAATGCTTGAATTTGATCTCTTTTTGAGATGCTTGATTATCTTTGACCTTGGCAGGATATTGTGGCAAAGAAGGTTCACAATTTAGTTAGGTATTGTGTAGAAAGGTAATTTCCTCTGTTGATAATTTTGCAGATTGTCCCTCTAGTATCAGTCCTTCTCAGCTGCTTTGTACTCCACCTGCTGCAACTCACTTGTTTAAACTTTTCCTATCCTTAGATTAGGTCAATGTAAGTTTAATCAGTATCAGTAAAGAGAACTTTAACCAACAATTTTCTCATTCTCTTCAGATGTACTTAACTGGGTAGATGTATTAGGTACCTTTATGCATTCTTGACATGGACATACAGCCCATGTAATTTCTGTCAAGGCCCCATCAGATTTGCTTTGGATTTAGGCTGACATAACCTTCCCAGTTCAGAGGTGCATCAGAGCTAGGAAGTCTTGCTAAGAGTTGGAGTATGTTGGATTAGCGTGTTTGGATAGTATCTTGATCCAAGCCTTCTCATCTCCACGGATATGCCACGTCACTGTTCTAGCTGCAGTCTCCGAGTCCCCGCCAGCCCTTGTACCTTTGTGGTGTGTTCCTTTGTGGAGCATAGACGTAATGTCAGTCCCTCAACTCTCCACACGTAAACTATTTATGCAGAAAGCACCTACCTTCAGAAGTGTTCTGGGGATAATTGCTTTAAGGATTGCTCCTACATAGCAGAATAATACATAGCAGATAGGAAGTAAACCTCAGAATTTGAATGTCCAAGTACAGACATTTTAAAGAGTATTTAATAGGCTTATACAGCAAAATAATTGGAGCTTGATAGTGCTTTTCCTAGTATAACAAGTCAATTAAGTTTCTGAGTGTCTCCTGTACCCTGGGGTGTGCAAAGGCATTTTTGTCTCTCTTCTCGACTTCCAAATGCAAGATAGTGTCAAATACTTTTACTTGCAGTTAGGTGTCTGTGGCACCTCTGGCACTCAGACTTCATGTACTCTGTAAGAGTGTAACTTACAACTTTTATTGATATCTAGTATAGAGTGAGAGGAATCGCACTCTGTGAGTACCCATTCCTTTCCATTGACTTCCCAGTGACTCTTGATGACATCCACAGTGTAGATACCTAAAAGCAAGTGGAATGAATCCAGCTGGTGCTGTTTGGCTACACCTTCACAAATCAGCAGCAAATGTGGAACTGGAATTCACTCCTGCTTTAGTTTCTGGACAGCATTTTCTCCTTCCGCTGTTTCTGGCTTGCGTGGCTGACTACCACCTCCCATATTCTTACTTCAGTCAGTATGTTGGAGACTTCTAATATTTTGTAGTGTCTTTGGTAGCTTGCAGAATTCTGTGCTAATTATACACATTCCTTGAAAATGTTGATTACATTGATAGTGAAAAGTGGGGAAAAGAGAATTCTTGTGCAAACACTCTCCACAATTAAAATAGTTGATAATTTTTACACAGAACTTGGAAATACTTCAGTTTTTTGTGGGGCGTTCCATTGTTCAACTATTTGGAGAGCAAAAATAATGTCCCCCACAGGTTTTTCACTGGAGGCAGAGAAGCCTCTAGTTCAGTTGCTTGTAAACTTTTTCAGTGTGAAAGCCTTTTTGTTCCTTGTGTTTCATTAGCACTATGGAGTTGGCGCATACCTGTGTAGGGACCCCCTATTATCTGTCACCGGAGATGTGTGAAAATCGACCATATAACAATAAAACGTAAGTCTCTGTCTTTCCTTCATATGCTTGTGCATGAGGGCATGTAGGCATGACAGAACTTATTTTAGTAGTATCATGGTTTAAATCAGCAGGGCACCAGGGTTTTCACGTGTCACACTTTGTGAAGTTTTGTATTATTGTGTACAATTAGGTGCATCAATCATATACAAGTATGTTATACTGTACAACACTGTCAATTGTATTTTGACTCATGGTGTCCAGAGTATAGCAATCTGATGAATTTGTTGTTGAATATTTCTTACTTTTATAAAATTACTTGTACATTAAACATTGAGTTTAATCTCATTCTCTTTTAATACTCCTTGATAGTAGTGGCATGAAATGTAAAATAGATTTTTTTCCTTTGCTTTATCTGGTTCTCCATCAAATAGTAAATTTCTCTCTGTGTTTCCAACATGTAATAGCCAATGCAAGTATAGATCTTTTCAGTTCCAAGTTTATGAATTTTTGATAATACTCATTTGTGATTTATATATACATATATATATATATGTAAATAAAATGAAAGCTGCTAGGTTGACAGTTCTGGAACTCTACAGTAGCCACCTGCAGGAAAAATAAATAGATCTGAGAATTGTGAAGGCTCACTCAGACTTAACACAAAATACCAAAATAACAAGATGAGAAGCACTGAAATGTCAGAAGCTGAGTGAGCTAGACTCCCATTCTCTGTGTGTGGGATCAACACTAAATATCCTGGAGCCCAGAGTAACATCTCAGCTATAAGGTGCTATTCACACACGTTTACTCCTTTATTGTCTCCCTAACTTTCAGGTCAGTCAGAGATGGCTTCGCCCTTCATCCTGCTAGGAATATTAAGCAGGCATTCTTTATGTCATGTGCCTTTTCCAATTATAATTTTAGTACCTAGTTAGGTATCATAGAAACATTGGTACCACAGCGAGAAAGAAATTTCAGGTTGTTCTTTTCAAGTGCATCTTAAGAAATATTAATCTGTGATGGAATAATGCTAATAAATTTGAGAGCTGAAAATAGGGACTGATTATATGTATGAAAATATTATAGCCTTTTCCCTGAAACTTTAATTACTTTTTATTCACAGAGATATTTGGTCTCTTGGCTGTGTGCTTTATGAGCTATGTGCACTAAAGCATCCTGTAAGTACTGTAGAATCAGATCAATATCATATTATTTAAACAGATAGTGGGCAGCCTGCAAAAACTGTAGTAATAATAGTATTCATAGGCAGCTGCTGCAGTTATTTTCAGTTTACTTACTGATATTAGAGAATGCCAGTGTTTAATTTTTTTGTATTGTTTCTGTTTCGTGCATACTAAAATACAATGTATTATGTTGTATTTCTACAATTTATACATAAATACACTCATGCACACATCAAACATACATTTACTCTTTAGTAAGTACAAAACTTTTTCAAAAGGCAGATGAGCAACGTAAAGAATTACAGCCAGACTTTGGAGTTAGGCTTCAGGCATATAGTTTTACTCTTTTCTATTTGAAAATACCAGTCTATACTTACTAAGGAGTTTGAAACCCGTGTTCCCCCAGCAAGCAGCTTGAGTCCCCGGAAGTATTTTCCTAAAGGTTTCATTTTGTTTGGAAGCACATTCATGTCAGAAGATAACTAAGATAGCATCATCAGGAAGCTGTGTTGTCCTCAGCCTGATCTGAGCCTCAGATAATCCTCAGCCTGTGAGTATTATGTGGAGAAAGGAACACAGAAGAGAATAAACCCAACAACGGGAGAAGGATCAGATTCCAGGGCCCAGCAGAAGTTGACCTTTTGCTGGGCTTGGATGCAGGAGAAAGCAGAGCAGCACTGATAGGGAGAGCAGTTGTGCTGAGCTGAGAGCAAGAGCATACTGCTGAGGGAAATTCCAGATTTCACAAAGTGAGAAGACATTAATACTAATTCTTATGAATATTGGCTGGTTTATTCTGTATTGCTGCCCATTTTTTTTAATTTGAAGGCAGGGACTAGATGCTGATGTAGACAGAATATGCAAGTGAAGTGAAGGCAAATTTTGTTTGCAACACCTTCAAAATAAACGAGTAAATAAAATGGTAATTTTAGAAAGAAGTTGCTTTCAAAATTAGTTTTGCCTGTCTAGGGCCCTAAAAACTATTGATGGTGACCTGTTAAGAGATCTGCTGAACTGAGAGGCCTGAGTTATCTGAGTGGCATCAGTTGTTAAAACTCAGGTTATACTTTGGTTCCTGAGACAACACAGAACACAGAGGCTAAGTTGTGTGAAGTGAGGTTTTGAAGGTGAACACTGTGAAGATAGTATGTACGCGGGTCTCTGTTGAACAGCTTTTGGCAAAATTTCATTCTGTTTCATTCTGGAAAAATTGCTACTGTATGACGGCAGAGTATAAATAAAACTCTTCCAGGTACAAAAGCTATGGGACCTGCTGAGTTGTGCAGCTGAAACAAGTAGAATGTAACCAGAAAATACAATCAGAGATTAGTTATAATAATTTTCCACAGCAAACTATGGGTAGTGAGAAAGGATTTGTGAAGACATTGCATAGCACAGAGCTTCTGTCAGCAAGTACCTCTTTTTTCAAGTTGGTGTGTCTAGTCCTTTACTTCCAACCAGCAGTACTTACTGTCCCCTTTTTACTGTTTTCATTGATTAAGTTCGAAGGCAATAGTTTGCACCAGCTGGTGCTGGAGATATGCAGAGGACGTTTTCACCCAGTGTCTCCCAGCTATTCATATGATCTGAGGATATTAATTTCCCAGATGTTTAAAATATCTCCAAGAGATCGACCATCTATCAACTCTATTCTAATGAAGCCCTTCTTGCAGAAGCTTGTTCTCAGATATTTACCTCCTGAGGTGAGTGCCTTTTACTGCTGCTTGCTGAGAGAAAAAAATGTATATCAAAGTAGTATAAACAGTTCTATCAGATACCTTTTTGCTTCTAGGTAGCACAGGAAGAACTCAGTCACACTGTGATACATAGAAAAAGGTCTTCAGCATCACAGCCTGGAGCCAAGCTGATACAAGGTAATGATAATAATGTTATTTAACATTAGTTCTACATGAGCATTTGTTAGTTATTACTTTCTTTCTGGCTATAACTTCCTCCAGCAGTCTTTAAGGCACATTCGGACACAACAGTTTCACATAAAGTTGAAAATAAAAAGAGGAGAGAACTGCAATAGAAGAAACATTAACTCCAGAGAGTGTATTGCTGTTCTTTTTGGGAAAAGACAACTTTAAGACCTGCTCATTAGTAATGCTCAGCTAGAAAAGCTGCCATAGGAAGGTGCTGAAATGCTAATCTTAATTCTTTTAAGAACAGAATTTACAAAACTCAGAGGCTTTGGTCTAGATGCAGGTTAGGTCTGCCACATCACAAGCATCCTTACTTCATTTTGCCAAGGTATGTGCAAAACCACAAAAATCTTGCAAAACTTGCTCCATAGTACTTTACAAAATAATAAAAATGTATTTTACAAAATATTGTAAGTTAATTAAATTTTGAGAGACAATGAACTCTATTTGGTTTAGTGCTCATTGGTAGATCAGATTGTGTATACACATTCTTAGAAAGCATGGATGAGACTAAATGGTATCTCTGTATGAACTGCCAAACATCTGACAAGTCTCTGGCAGCATAACCTTTTCCTAATTCTCTGTTCTTCACTATATCATAATTGTTTCTCAAATTTATCTTTGAAGGTATTAAAGTAGCTTAAACGCATTTGTGAAAATAAACCTATGTAGTTACTTAACTACACTGTGGAGTGTGTCCCCCTGCAAAATTCTACAGCAATGTAGGAACCCATATTATTTTGTAAATAATAAATTTCGACGTGATTTATCTGCCCTCAGGTTTAATGCAATTTGGACAGAGGCACCTGAACACCTAAGGCATTTTAAAAAATATCTGTGGTCATATACTCATAGTTTTAATTTATTTTTTCTTCAGGACGTGTTACTCTAATAGTCATTACTCAGGGAGAATTTAGGACTTATTTAGAAACTACTTAATCCTAGCAAGGACACTACTTGTCATTTTTGCAAATAAGATCTTTGCAAAATACTGACCGATCAAACTCGAATGGTGTGTACTTTTATTCTACTGCCTGGGGAACTGATAAGCTGATTTTTTTCTCTTTTCGGGCCTTCTTTCCAAATTTCACAAGTACTGCAACATTATCTAGTGATTTGTAGAATACTGAAGGCTAGGTTTAGAAAGGGAATGCTTAAGCAGGTAGATGCCTAGCCTCCAATGAAATCTGAGCCTAAGAATCAGACCACCTGTTTTCTGTTCTTGGTACTAGCATCAAGTCAGTATTTTAGTTTATAGAGATCTCCCTTTTATGTAGTGTGCTTCTTTGCAAAACTAAATTCCACTTTACATGAGTGTGTCAAATCATAATGTGTTCAAAAACTTGTAATTTTAAGGATGAAAGGCAGAATGCCTAGGAGGTGTGAAGTATACTGATGATGAAAGGGCGTAAGGAGTGTTTGTTAGCCCAGACTGTCAGTGTTAGCTGTATGCACCCTGCTGTGGTTTGCAACTACATGATCATTAATCATGCAGAAAGCACAGAACGTAACCTTTTAATCTTCTATTGTTAAAAGCACATCAGATTCAAAAAAGGAGAGTCCAGGACCAAGTTCCTTCAGAATATGGAATGGTGGTGCCTGTCCAGAAACAGGAATTATCTCAAAGAAATGAATGGAAACATCCTTCAAGAGGGCAACAGCCTATTTTTCAGGTACTGTGTATCTACATTCTCATAGTATTTAATTGTCTTGAGAAGGCAGATTCCTGCTCTTAGAAAAAAGGCTTCATTGATGTAAGTCAGTGGAGATAGTAAAGCACTCCTGAAGCCTCAAAAGAGGTGTTTCAGAAAGCCTAAGTAGAAAACACTGATTTTTGGGTGCTTCAGTGTGGTCCTTTGTAACAAAAGGAGTCAGGCAGGCTTCGCATTTACATTTGCACAAATAAAATTTGGTTTTGCATTTTTGTGTTTGCATTTTTGCTATAGATGCAAATACAGTAATCCTCTTACCTCAACACTTCTGAGAGATGATACACATTGATAAGATCCCACCTGAACCTTCTCTAGGCTTAACAGTGCGGGCTCTTTCATCCTTTCCTTGTATGAGAGGTGCTCAAGTCCCCTAGTCATCATTGTAGCCTTTTGCTGGACTCTCTCCAGTATATCCCTGTCTCTCTTATACTGGGGAGCCCAGCACTGGACACAGCACTCCAGCTGTGGCCTCACCAGTGCTGTGTAGAGGGGAAGGATCATCTCCCTTCACCTGCTGGGAATACTTTGTCTAGTGCAGCCCAGGATATCATTCACCTTCTTTGCAGCAAGGGCACATGGTTAGCTTATGGTCAGCTTGGTGTCCACCAGGCCCCCCCCGGTCCTTTTCTCCCAAGCTGGGTGGCCCCCAGGATGTACTGGTACACGGTGCAGGACTTTACGCTTCCCCTTTTTTAACTCCATGAAGTCCTGTCAGCCCATTTCTCCAGCCTGTTGAGGTCCCTCTGGATGGCAGCATGACCTTCTGGTGTATCAGCCACTCCTCCCAGTTTTGTCATCAGAAGCTTATCAGGGACCGGTTTTGGGGCCTGTCCTGTTTAACATCTTTATCAATGACCTGGATGGAGGGGATTGAGTGCTCCCTCAGTACCTTTGCTGATTATACCAAATTGAGTGAGTGCGTTGATCTCCTTGAGGGTAGGAAGG